TGAGGAACTGTATGAGAGGGTCTCAGCATTAGGAAAGTTGAAAACCACCGATCTAGGGCAAATCTAGAACCGGGTCTGCTGCTGGCAAGTCTCGATGACCTTTCCAGCCATGGTGTTTGTCTCACCCAGCAGTTAGACCAGGGGTTTAAACACCGCCTGATTGTGTAAATAAGGTTTTATTGGCATATAGCTATGCCCTATATTGCCTTTGACAGCCAGAGCTGAGTGGCCTGCGTGGGAGAGGAGCGACTTACCTGGGGGGCCGCTGCGCTGGGTGCCAGGAGTCATGCCAACTCGCAGAGACCCTGGCTGAGACGTCAGTCTCACAGCTCCCTGCCATCGAGTTGACCCTGACTCACGCAACCCGCTAGGGCAGGGCAGGACTGCCCCTGTGAGTTTCCACGACTATCCCTCTTCAAGGGAGTGGAAAGTCCTATCTGCCTCCCAAAGAGTGGCTGGTGGTTTTGAACTGCTGACCTTGCTGTTAGCAGCCCAATCTGTAACCACTACGCCACCAGGGTTCCCTACCTGCAGTTGGTAAGGCCAGCAAAAACGAATGAATATTCCAGAAAGGGCCCAGGCCGGCTTCCTTCCTCGCCCCTTCACAAGTCACTGTCCACAGTCCCCGCGGGTCCCCTTCTCTCCTCCTCCGGGCCTCAGAGCCCACTGCAGGAGGCCACATCCAATCCAGGAAGGAGGGCACGGGAAGCCCAATTTGACCTCAAATTCAGTCCAAGCATGTCCTCTGTGGTCCCCATCAATCACCTCAAGTGAGCGCTAACGATGCTGAGGGTGGCGGCTTCAGGGTGGGATTCGTAAGCTGCCCACCCCAGTAGTCTGTACAGGCAGGGCCAGCCTCTGGTCCAGGTTCTCCCCCCAGCCCATCACAGGCCCTCCCGAGGCCTCAGTTTCCCTGCTCTGGGTCCCTGCCAAGGACTCTCACACTGGGATGAACCTAGCAGGCAGGAGAGGCCCCCGGAGGGCTGGTCTGGGGGTGCGGGCAAGGGCGTTACCGTGGTGCATGAAGCCGTTGTTACACAGGCCCACGCCGAGCGCCACGGCCTCCTCCCGCGTCTGGCAGTCCCCCTGGAACGAATCAAGAAGGCATTATGAGGACCAGAGGCTGAGCAGCCCACGGCCCAGGCTCCGCAGGTAGGGGCATTTGTCTGTTTTGTTCTCTGGAGTTTCCCAAGGGATGCTTGTGATTCCTATGAGCAGATCCCAAACAGGAGGACTCTCTCTCATTGTATGTGTGATCCACACTACAAAGTAACAATGGAGATCATAGGTGGCAAGTACGGGGTTGCCTAGCAACGACCATCGGGGAATCCCTCCCTAGTCACGAAACCTAGTGCTGCTGTAGGCACAGGCTCTGACCTAGAAACTGTACTTCCCAGACTCCCCGTGGTCAGTAAGGGCAAGTCAAGTGCGAACAGAAGAGGGAGATGTAGCAAAAACCTCTTCGCTCACGGCCCTTCCTTTCTCTTCCTTCTGGCTTGGGACAAAGATGTGATGGCTGGAGCCCCAGCAATCATCCTACACCAGTAGGCACCCTTGGGGAGGGTGCATAGACGACGGAAGAGCAGGAAAGGGTGGCCCAATGAGTCTGGCCCATGGCGCTATCACAGGGCCGTCCTCCTAGCTCTGGACCACCACCCTCTGGGATCCCATCACACAAGAGGAACACTAAGCAGTCGATCTGTGGCAAAGAAGCCCTGGTAGAGCAACGGGTAGGTGTTCAGGTGTCAACCCACAGGTTGGCAGTTCAAGCTCAGCCAGCAGCTTCTCGGTAGCAAAACCTGAATCTGCTCCCACAAACTCTAGGAAACCCTACCTACAGGGCAATTCGACTGCGGCACGGGGAAATTACTCCACGTCTGGACAAACACAACTGCACCGACAGCAACAATGTTTTGCAGCCACTGCAGCTGGGTCTCTGTAGCTACAGGTCCAGTTCAATCCCTAGCTGACCCAGGTCAGTCAGGGAGAAATCCATCCAAACCCACCAGAGGTGTCTAGACAATGAGTTCCTCCCCATCATGGGAAAGTAGCACCACCCCTCCCTGCCTGGGGCAAAAGTCCTGGAAGGAGTGAGGCTGGGGCTCCAGGGGCCATCCTGGAAGCAAGACGGCAGGTACTGAGGACAGGGGAGTAAAGGCTGGAAGATTGCCGGGTTTCAAAGGCACCGTTGAGCCCACAAACCAACCCTGGAGCCACCTCAGTCCACACTTAGAAAACTGCTGTGTGATGACCTGCTACACCAGGTGGGCTTTCTGTCCCTGCAGCTCGAATCGTTCAAAGCTGATACAAATGAACGCTCAGGGGGCATGGCTCCTGGTTGGAAGCAGCACCCAACCAGGAATGGATGAATGAACCAGAATGGCCAGTGTTGGTTCTGCCTTGGGGGGCGGATTCTCCCATGTGGATGCAGTCTCATAGGACAATCCAACAGACTCCCCTGGCCAAGGGTGGGCACAGAATCTGCCCCCCGCAGCATGTCCCTTGGGTAGAAAAACACAAGGATAAAGAGCAGCGACTGCGGAGTCTCCTGGTGGCAATGCTCTGAACCTCTGTCCCGCGGCCCGTGCTTCTAAGAAACCGGGCGCTGTGGGGCCCCATCCCCTCCCAGACTGGTTCCTAGCCCGAATTCAAGCTCTGTGAGTATTTGTAACCCTCTCGATCAGTCTTCCTTTTCCTTTTCGCTTTCCTTCCCAAGCAGTCAGAAGTGACTTCTATTGCTCGCCACCCAAATCAACATCTATACATCCAGGCAAAGTATGTTGCGTTGTGAGTGAAATGCAGTCAGGCAGAGGGGAGGCAGCACAGGAAAAAGTACAGGGTGGGGAGGGGTTCCGCATGCAGGGGACCTGGGTGGGCCAGGCGAGGGGAACCGGGCGTGGACTCCACAGGACCTTCATCTCCTGTGCTCCCAGCTGGATCCCCACGGCTGTCATTGGCTGGCCTCAAGTCAGCTCCACTGAGAGTGGCTGGACCACATCGGTGCTTGTGCTGTTCGGTGCTACCTTCCAGACCCTGGGGAGGCTTGAGTCCATCTTGGCAGCTATCAGTCCATCTCACGGAGGGTTTCCTTCACGCTCCCTGACCCTCTGCCCAACGCGATGCCCTCATCCAATGAAGGGTCTTTCCTGGTGCCCACATCCAGAAGTCAGCACGCCAACGTCTCACCATCCTGCCGTATCCTGGATGAACTTCTCCTGGGACGGATTTGTCCATTCTTCTGGCCATCTGGGATAGTCAGCGCTCTTTAATAACCACCTCCCAGTCCAAACATGAGCATTCTTCTCCCCCTGATTCGTTGTCCACCTTTCCCTCGCAGATGAGGCCATTGCTAGGACCAAGGTTCGGGTCAGGTGATGAGCAGAAAGCATTTCCTGATTGAATGGAGGAGTTGCACCAGGGGCCAAGTCTGACAGGAGCTGGTAGCCAGGTAACAAGCGGCCGAGACATCCTGAAGGGCCACCGGCCAGAACTCAGCAAGTGAACATCCTGAGAGGCAACCACCTCCCTTCAGCCAGGCCGAGACGGCCCCTCCCTCCTCAGGAGCCCAGGGGTTGGGAAGGGAATTCTCGACAAAGAAGAAACGAACCAACACTGTTTGGAAGCTGCAGGGGCCTGGGGTGGCCACTGGCCTCAGCCTTTCCCAGCATGGGCCCTCCTGGCTGATGCAAGGCAGGACCCATCCCTCTCGAGACTCCAGGCCACTGGCTGAAGGGGCAGCATGCTAGTGTCCTGCCAAGGGAGGCGGCCAGGAGGCACATCTGAAGCAGACACCCCCCAGCTGTGAGGAGCCAGCAAGAGGGAGGCCCACCCCTCGGCCTGGGAGGCCCAGAAGCGTCTGGAGTCCACCTGGCTTTCTGGGGCACTTACAACCCTGTCTGTTCCTCCACTCCCCACCCCCACCCCAAGGGCCCAAGGGGGGAATCAGCTAGCAGGGAGGCTCCTAAAGTTAGAACAGAGGGGATTCTCAGTTTCAGACACCCACACTGCTGCCAGCATGAAACAGGGCCCTGGACACACCACTCCTGTCAGCTGTGGCGAGCCACAGGCACTCAAAGCGGCATTTTCTTCCCGCCCCAGAAGGCCACACAGACGCTGGCCTGGGACCCAGATGTCCCAGGCCATCACGCTGACCACGCTGCCTGCCTCCTCCACTCGCCTGGCTGATCTTTCCCCACCCCCACCCCACCCCTGTGACCCCCTCCTCTGGGCCTTTGCACCTGCTCCCCCCTCCACCTGGAATGCCCTGCTCCCAGCTTGGTGGGTCTCAGCAATGCCCCGTTCAGAGAGGCCGTTCCCTCCCCACCCTACAGTCACTCCACCCCCCCACCACATGCTCTCCCCACCTCCCCCCAAACCTCCAGCCAGTCACACTCTCGCAGGCATTGGTCACAGCCTGACATTAACTCATCTGCTTGATTCAGGCCTTTTGAAGTCGGTGTCCCTGCGGGAGTGTCAGCGCCCTGCAGGCAGGCAGAGCGTCCGTCCGCCTAACGGCCAGCACCCCTCCCCACTATGACCACAGCACCTGGCACCCGCCGTGCACCTGGCGTTGGAGGTGACGCAGTGAATAGTTTGGACGGAAGGAAAGGGGAGGAACCAGGTCAGGAACTGGCCTGGATGCGTCGCCGGTTTCCTGCTCCCTCGGCTGGGCACTGCCCGTGCCCGCACCTCGAGGCAGTGAGGCCGGGCCAGCGCCTGGCACTCAGGGAGCCCTCGCTGTAACTGCCTCCCCTCAGGATGCACTGCAGGGAACAAGGGCAGGGCAGAGTGGGAGATGAACCCAGCAGGGTGCTCACTGACCTGGGGCCTCCAGGCCCCATGATTGCTGAGACCCCTTCGCATCCCCCACCCCCAGCAAAGGCCACAGAAGCCTCTTGCTCACCCCTGATCCTGATCAAGGAGAAACTGAGGCCCAGGAGGACTCAGCTGCTTGCTTGAGACCCCAGAGTGAGAATGGAGGCCCTTTCAGAGGCTAGTTCTTCCCACCCCGGCTTACAGATAGGGAAACTGAGGCTTGGAGAACACAGGCGAGCTGTCCAGGGAGCAGCCGGAGCTCCTGTCCTTGTGTGTCCTTGTGTCCTTGTTTTCTCTGAGGTGACCCAAGCTGCCTCTGCCTGCTCCCACCTGGACCCTTTCCGTGCTCAGACCTGCTTCCTGCAGCACGTGGCATCTGCCTGGCCAGGCGGGCTTAGGGG